TCTAGCGGCGCAGAGCCGTCCAGCCCGTGAGTGCTTCCAGAAAGTTCCGTGAAGGCCAGAGGCTGCACCGGCCTCCCGGTGCTGCTGTGGGGCAGATGTTAGACCCTGGCTGGCTGGCAGCTGTCTGAAGTGGGTGGGGAGAGCTGACCTTTCCTCGCTCCTCCTCCCCTTCAGACTTGCCCCTGGCTTCCCCTTCTAGGCCCACCGTTGGCTTTTCTGTTTTGGAGCAGGTTATTTGGTGGCTTCAGTGCTCTGTACAATGGAGATGGTTAAATCTCCTAATCTCAGAGCTGTTTGGTCAGGATGAATAGGGTTGTGCTTTAAAGGCTTTGAGATGCTACGTGAATGGGACTATATGGTTATATGTAAATTTATTGAACTAATTGCTAAGTACAATCACTGTTCCTGGATTTGTTCCTGGATTGTGAGAACCTGGGCTAAAGGAGGATGAAAATTCTAGATAACACAGTATTACTGGTTACAAACTGAAAATGGCTTCTCTGGAGGCAGCAACTGGCTTCTGTGGAGGCAGCTCAGATCTCTCTGCACCTCACTTCCCTGTGCTTTATGTTGTTGCAAGACATATGAGCTTGCCTCTGGCACTGTACAAAGTCCCAAGTCAGCTTGAACGTAGAGCTGGGCCTCTCCTAAGCCCCCCTGGAATAAGGAGGCCAGAGAACCTGGTGTGAAGCCCTCTGCCTGGCTCCTCAGGGAGCCACATAAAGTCCACAATGCCAAATATGAGCATGCAGCAAGAAATTCTGCTGCCCTCAACCTGGCCACAGTAGCAGAAAATCCATGTTTGCATGGGGCTGTGCCAGAGCTAATAAGCACTGTTAGACTTTGAGCTGTCTCAACAAACGCTTATGGAGCAAATTTGTTCATAACCTGCGCATGGATAAGGGAAAGTTGATATGTTCCACTGTACGTATGCTGGCATCTCACGTAAGCTTTAGGCCAAAGTTTATCCTTCTAAAACACAGTAGGAAGATAGTTTGCATTTGAGGAAGGACAGTCTAGAAAAGGTGTTGTTCTTTCTTCATCTGCCACTTGTTTTTTTCTGCACAGGTCAGCAATGGATATGGATAGAGATGGTATTTCCTCCGTCTCTTCTCTGCAGTCCCTTGCCAAGCTACTTAGTGAAGCTCAGGAAGATGATGATGACGACAATGACTATGGGGTGAGTCTTCCACAAGAAATGCTGCTTCTTCTACATGTTGTACCATAGTCTAACCGTGTTAACTAAGAAGCAAACTTGGCTTTTCCCAGCATGAGTAAAGAGAGAATTAAAGCCTTACAAAGTTTTGGATGGACTGAAACAGCCAGAAGGTATTTTTTGGGTAACAAGCTCCTGGGCGAGAAAATAAGGAAGATGCCCCAGGAATAGGAGAGATTGTGATCACAGAATGGGAGGAAGATTTATTTTCTCAGCCTAAAGGAAATGAGAAGATGTAGTTGAGAGAGCATTAGGTACTTCAGACTTCCCCCTACTTTTCCATGAAGGCTGCCAGAGATGAAGGCAATTACGGCTAGATACAAAGGAATACATATGAAGAAAAAAGTTGTTGTTTAACTTCTGAGCAAAGACTCAGAAATATCCAGAGACAACTGAGTGTACTAATTCTGTGTGTCAGGCACTGAAGAACTGTGGAGATAATTGATCACTGAAGTACAATAGATATGTTGGAGATGGTAGAATAGGGAAGGGTGAGTAGTCATTCTAAGATGAATGATCTGAATGATTAATGAGAGAAATATCTTTCCATTTGTTCATATCAGTTCATCTCAGGAGTAGATGAAAATCACAGTGCCTGGAAAATGTCCTTTGTTTCCACAATATACTACTGCTGGTTTTATCTAGGTATGCGTGTGTGCTGAGGAGAAATATCTGTGTCTGTTATGCCCAGGAGGACCACAGGTGCCCCGAATTGCAATGTACAAGGCCGCAAGGAATGTTCAAAACTCTTTGAAAAGTCTCATAGGATTTGAACAAGTCTTTTTATGAGCTGGATAACAAAAATGGCACATATCTCAGTAATCTTCCCTAACATCACTCCTCAAAGAAGAGCCAGCTGGCTGCCCCAGAAGATGTGCCCTAATAGTAGCAGTAGTAATAAACACTTAGGATGAAGCGGGTGCATTTCCTTTGAGATTTCTTTTCAGTAGAAGGTAGATGTGATCCTTCACACTCTAAACTACCCTTCAGCTCTTTTATGCTTGCTTTAAAAGGTAGTATTATTGCTGTACACCTTTGCAGTAAACATCCCAATTAAACAAAAAACTTGTTTACATCTTACTAATAAAATGAATAACACTTCAGAGACAGAAATGCAAAATTGCCAAAAGTGATGTCAATTAAGTCTGAGTCAATCTTCTGGGTAATTTGAAATCTTTATTTTGATTTAATGTTCTGTGCATATGAGGCACTTTTATTAAAGAATCTTCATATGTATGGAAATGCTTCACATTGGCCTATTAGCACTAAATTGATTCATAATTAGAAGACAATATTGTTGCCTCATATGATTTCCAGTGTTAAAAGGAATCCAAATGCTGTGACAAGATTTGCATGTAGCACCCCTGGCTTGCTGCAATATTTTCATGGCAGGCAAAGCAGGACAGTTTTGTCAAAATGCAATGGAAACTAATACTCAAAAATTAGTGCATCTGTCTGTAAGACTGTAGTTCTGAGTTCTATTTAAACCCAATGTATCAAGGTCACTCTCTGCTAAGTCAAAGTGAGGAACAGGGCATGGTCAGTGGTTCAGTCATGAAGTTGAGAATACTTTTGGATTCTATCACTGATTTGATTGACCCTAGATAATATTTTGTATTTATTGATGTTATTGTTACTGATTTGAGCTCTGTGAAAATTAATTGAAGTTCCATTTGGCTTTTTTTGCAGCCACACTGTTCTGTTAGCACCATGGCTCCGGGTAATATTGGACCAGTAAAGAAAGAGACCACTGGTAAGAAGAGTTGTTTATACAGTTGAGCATTCAGTCGCACATTAGCAGAATAACACAGCTGTACTAAGAGTTAACTACTGACACAGCTTGCTTCAAGAAGTGAGTGGTCACTGGCCTCTGAGACCAGTAGCACTGAGAGGGAAGTAGCACTACCGGTTTTACAATTACCTTGTAAAATACTCCTTTTTCTAACAGCTGAAACACAAAATATGAAGGGCAACAGAAAGGGTAGCTTCAGAAGGTAGCAACCTCAGGTAGAGATGATAAACAGGGTACAGAATACAGCCTGATCACGGGCTGAGGGCAGTCATAACTAAGCAGCGAAAAGCTCTGTATAAGAATTGCCATTGAATTGTTGATGCTCCCTTGGAGCAGACAAGGAGGATGGGCTTTGACATACCCATCCGAAAGGATCTTCAGAGAGTAAACTGCATGGAACTGAGTCCATCCTTCTCAGGAGGATGAAAAGCTACTAAGCTTACCATGGAACAGACATACCGTATTCCCCCCAGAAGTCTCACAAGCCTATTTAGACAAAATACTGGAAGAAAAGTAAGCTTTATTCAGTGCTGCCTTCAACATGCTGAAATTCGACAGACCAAGAGAAAAATGTATTTCAGTTTTCCTCCTCACTACACCTAGCTCTTTGCCAGGAAACCCAGGGCAGTTAAGGCACTTCATCTGACTCCAGGTGTTGGGGCAGTATATAAAAAGACAGACTTTCAAACAACAAGAATCAAAACCTTGAGGGTTCATAAATTTTTTTCAGCACCTTGGATTGTATTCAGGAAAGAAAGCAACCCAAGCATAGTCTTAGCAAAGCTGATATAACGTTCTTCCTGGAGCTAATACCATCACATAATTGGGCAACTTAGTTATGAACCATAAAAAGGTCAACAGGGACCAGGAAGTGTGTAACAAACTGTAGCAAATATAACAAAAAAGACTGTTTTTGCTTGAGAATCCAAAAATAATCAGACATCTGTCTATAAAAACTTTCAAGCTGAAGATTTACCAGCTGAATAAAAAATACATTTTTCCAGGTGGGATAGGCATAAACCATGCTATTCTGTCAGTAAACTTTAATGAGTCTTCAGTACCTTATCTGGGTTGTGCTCAGTGGTTAATGGTAAGAACTGGATTTATATGAGGAGAAGAGATTCTTTTGTAAACATCTCTGCTCACTTCAAATCTGCTGTCATGGGGCTTGGGAAAAGATAAATATTTCAGGTACTTCTACATATTACCCGTTTTGAAATGCTACATATTTTATGCCTGAAATCTGGATTTCCTTTACACAGAGGTTGGGTAAAGGAGATTTAAGCTTAAGAATTGAAAACATCCTCCCTTTGCCAGTTCTCATTCGTATGGTATCCAGGTGAAGGAGACTGCAATTGTTAAAAAATCTTTGTATCAAAAAGATATATCATAACTACAGCCTAGAAAAACATATGTTTTTAGCAAACCTAGAAAAAATAGACATTCTAAAATATGATTGTGTGATTTCCTTCTTATTATCAGTTACAGGCACTTTTCAAGTGAAATCCGAAAATAGTAAAACTATTTGGAATACAGCGGAGATCCCAGAGGGATCAGAATTTGATGATACCTGGGATCCTAGAGAACAGCCAGAGTAAGTGTAAGCGAGCTGAGACTGCCTGCATGGGTTTTACATAGCTTTGATGGAAATGTGTTAAATAACATCTACTGTGTTTGAGTGAAATTCAGCCATCTGAAAAGCTTGTGTCATGGAAGGACAAAGGAATGAATACTGATTGTTGCCTTTAAAGAAGCAACAAGTGAAGAGGGATTTGGCATTCAGCTATATCTCTGCATACATTTTTTCTTGTTTGAAACTTATCACCTGTGAGGTATAGAACACGCTCTCTATTTGTGTTGTGGTCCCAATGGATGTTTTCCTCGTGCCATTTTTTCTTGACTCTTCCTCTCTCTGCTCGGGAAAGGGTGGCATGCCTCATACAATTATGCACTGCGTTGCACAGATCAGAAGAGTAAAAATCTTTGTAATAGTTCATTAGTTCAATAGTTCATAGATTAATTCATTGAAAATGGCCCAAAAGGAAAACAGATGATTTGAGAGGTGCATCCAGAGCTATTAGATTTCTCGTTGACTGAGAGGAATTGTTACATGTGCACATGAACACTGGAGATGTGAAGAAAACTCTTGCCATACACTTTTTCCAGCAGTATAGAGAATGACTCAATTTATTTTGCTCAATTTACTAGGAGTAATATATGTTCTAAATACAATATTTAGTTGTATTTCCTCATTAATTAAAGCTCGAGAGAACATATGATACCAGATTTTGTAGTGTTCAAAATTAGACAAATTGATTTATAGAGGAAGAAATTGAGTGTTGGCCAAATGCAAAATAATTAACATTAGACAAGAAAACACTCTTATTCTTATGCTCCAAGAGTATCATGAATGACAGAACAGAACAGTCAGAGATGTCATTATGTGACAGTATCCTTTTCCCAAGATATTGTGTTGGTTGACTAGCTGATAAGTATCATATTCACTTAGGGATGCTTTCCCTGCTCCCTGCTCCTGCAAAGGCTGATTTGCGAAGTAGAGGGAGTAAAATGAATACCTTGGAAGGTGGTGTGAATGTTCTACACATCTTCCAGGCAACTGTGTCATTCATGGCTCTGAAAAAAAAGCTGGTGCAGATGTCTTGAAGACTTGAAGGGAGATTGGCAAGGAGGAGAGAGAATGTGATAAGTACATGAGTACTGATAAAAAGATTTATGGTCCTTTGAGAAATACAGCCTCCTTTACTCTCCTGCCCCTTCTCCAGTGTGGTGTGAGACAACTAATTTTCTCTCTCTGTCTCTCAGGTATGAGATTTTATTCAAACAGCGGGTGGGAACAGAGGACGTCTTCTTCGGGATGAGCAGGAAAGACCCTTCCACAGCATGCTGTGAAGACATGGTGGTATGCTGAGCCTGTATCTCCCATCCCTTCTCTGTAGCCTCTCCCTGCAGCCTCCTTCTTTCAATCTTGCTCTCTTCTCAAGACACAGAACATAAACATCAAGCTATATTGTTGCCTTTGGCCTCCTATGGGATTTTCTTGTATCTTTCCACACACTTATAGATGATATTTACCCTTGCTAATCTGAAGAACTCATGTAGCTCCTCAAGAACACCGTACTCAAAAGAGAAAGAATCAGTGCAAATGTTTCCCGCCTACAAACTTGAGGGAAATGAAAGCAGCTCCAACATGATGTGAGGGACTAGGAAGGAAGAGACAGTTTTCCTCTGCCTGCATTTATTGCAAAGTATGTGAGTTAGCAAAGTGCTGCAATACTGTGTCTTCAAAGTTACAGGTATCAGATCCTGTCCCATTACTATATAATCAGGGACTTTGCTGCTTTCTAAAATTCAGGAGAGATATAACTGCTGTATGTTTTTTCTTGCTGAAGCAAGCTGGCCTTAGAATATACAAACCCACGGGCTTTTGGTCAATGTAGAATACCTGTTGAGTATGTTATCAGCTCAGGATTTTGTAGAAGATAAGGTATCAATATACATCACAGAGCTATAGAAAGCAATGATTATCACTTTCTCATATTTTCTCTAATACAGATTACCTGTTCTGAATGTTGCTTTTTGACACTAGCATCAAAATGATCATGAAGACAGAAGATCTCTTATGGTTTATAGGGTTGCACGTCTAATCACAGCTTTACTTCTACTTGTCATTTCAGATTAAAATCAAACTGCCAGAGACAAAGTTCTTGGACATCACTTTAGATATCCAGGACAAGGTTCTTGACCTTCGAACCCCCCAAAAGTAAGAGAATCAGAACCGATAGAGGTGTAGTTAATATCTTGTTTCTATGGAAGTTAAACCAAGCCTTCATTAAAATACTATCTGGAAAGCAAAGGTAAAGATGCAGATGGAATTATTAAATCCATCGGGACACAGGAGAAATAAATACAGACAAAAATAATTACAGTCCATTTTTAGGCTTGTAGTGTGCTAGGGTCAAAACCTCTGATACTGGTCTAGCAAGAATAGCCTTAAAACAGTTTTTGACTACTGAAACAGCCAGCCTTTAAGGGCCCAAAATGTTTGTGACAAATTGACTGAAGTTGTGAAGGACTACTTGGGAATTTGGTTTATAAATGCTAATTTATACAAATACACAAATGAAGATGCACAAAAACGTGCAGATACAGTTTCAGAGGTTGACATTGCAATTGCATCCATGCCTGGTTATGTACACAGAGGGATGGAATTATTACAAGGTTTTCCTAAAGAGATTTCCCTTGAGTTCTTGCTTTCTGTAGGGCTGCTTCATAACTACAGCAAAGACAGCTAGAAACTGACTGACATATTCTATGACTTCCTGGGCTTCGCACAATCTTCATGCATATTTCCCACAGCGTGGAATAGCTAATAATCACTTACAGAACCCATAGTTAGCAAAAGATGTAGCTTAATGCAGTACTGCAGATGTCGGAAAGCCTCTACATCCCTTTTTTTTTTTTTTTTTTTTGCAGTCTTACTTTTTGGTGACTCAGATCTGCCATTATCTTCTTAGTATCCAGCTGTCTCAAGTCACAAGCCTAGCAAATAAAATGTTTACTGTAAATCTAATGGATGCTTGGGGACAGTCTAAGCCAGTGCTGACTTCACAAATATAAGTGCAAATCCTGTCAGTATGAAAGAAGTAAATAAGATTTCAAGTTCTACATACCAAAAAACACTGTGTTGTCACAGGGTGGGAGGGGCTCAAAGGAACTGTTTCCAGCTCTGTAGTCCTGGGGCTGATTCTAAGCCTATCTAGTTTTAAAGACTTCCATTTTATGCCAGCTGGCTCCTTTCAGTAGGCAGGATGCAAAGGTGCTCTGACTGTACCTCTTCCTTTCAGCCATGGCTCCTGTAACACAGAGCTGAAAAGGTCTGTGAAAAAGAATCAGCATGACTCAAAACCCAATTTAAAACAACCCCCATCTATGCTACTATGTTGTCTTGCAGGGCTGTATAGTGTTTGGCTGGGCAGGTCTCTTGATTCTCAAGTCTCCTTGCTTCTATTTGCACTGTCAATAGAGCACAGGTCCATGGTCCAATAGAGCACTGGCCCATCGTTCATATTGTTAACATAAAAGCTCTGGGATAAGAGGGGAAAGAGGCCAGACTCTTTGCGTGAGCAAGTGAGTTGAGCTCTCATTAATGAAAGAGTTGATCCAAAAGGCTTACTGGCCATTCCAGGAAGAGCTTTCTGCCTACTGTAGCAAAGGACTGCAGGATGTCTCCGGAGTCCAAGATCCAACATTTCTTTGTATATTATGTGCTACAAGTAGGGGATCACTGAATTTATCTCCAGCATAGGTGGAAAAAAAAGCCCAGAGATTTTATAACCCTAAGTCCACTCTCATACCTGCACTTTACTTTGTAGTATAGACACGCCCTTTGTGTAACTGGACTGGACAAATCCTCTAATTAGGCTGCACCAGTTAATTCTTTTTACTAGGGAAGACAAGCTGCTAAAGGCACACGTTCAGGCCTTAGGCATTATTCAATTTTTTTTCGTTTTTAAACACCAATACAACATTATCAATGCAGCTCCTCCTTCCTCTGCATTTAAAATGCAGCACTATGTAGAAGCAGAACTGTGGAGAGATCCCACAATCCATCATTGGAAACTGTTGTCATAGCCACAGCCAAGAGAAAGAAGAGAGTAGTGTTGGAAATATTCCAGGGCCTGCATAACTGTGCACTGGGTATTGCAGGTGCTCCACAACCTGTCATGAGCAGGGGAATATGCTGAATTAGTGTTTCTTGATATACTCTGATAGGTGAATTGCTAAAGTAAGTTGCAGTCCCATCTCAGTTGCTCACCCAGTCTGAGGCATCCAAACCCACTGTGTCCTGTTTTATAGGAAGCTGTTGCTGCACCTCCCCTACCCTGTGGACAGCAAGAATGGAAAAGCTCACTTCTTCTCTGAAGAGGAGATCTTGGAAGTCACCTTGAGGATGTCAAGAGAATTTGACTTCATTAATTTTGCCTGATGAATAGAGAGGTGGAGAAAGTTTGCAAAAAAAGATCACTGCACATTTGAAGTCTTCTCAAGACCTAATTGGTCATCAAATAGGAGATTGTTCCCCTTGAACAGTCCAGGGGGAAAATCCCTGGAGAAACTGAATGAGTCAGGAGGAATAAAAGAGAAAGGAAAAGATATATTTAAAACACCCATAGGTTTGTAAGCTGGGGCTGTCCAGCTCTTGCTCTGCTCTGGTTAACGTTCTGCTTCCTTCAGTCTGATACAGGCCTGGGAATCATCCATAGGAGATCACAAATTCTATAAGCCAGGGAAAGTCTTTCTGCAGTTGTGGCTGATAAGTAGCACAATGAGGCTCTGGCCCATGACTGTGTTTCTTAGTGACTGTTGCCACACTTGCAAGTGATAATATTCCTACTTGGTCTCCTATTAGAGAAGCTGAGAACAAGGCCAGTTCAGAACTCACTTTTAACTATTGGTGAGGAGCTCTAAGCTTTTCAGGTGTCCGTTTCCACAGCTGAAGCTCCTTTACACTGGCAGAAGAAGGTACCCTGCTATAGTTGGACTGTTGAACAGCTCAGCTGTTTTGAACAATTTTTGACAACGTGTGGTTCAGTGTCATCTATTCACCAGCTATTCTTCTGATCTATCTTAGTTAATAAAAGAGTGTGTTCTAATGAACTGTTCCAGTTACCTTCAACTCTGCCTTCTCTGCATTATGTCCTGAGAGACTTCCTAGAAGTGAGGTAAGAGGAACTTTGAATAACAAAGCATCATTTTCTTAAATGAAGCATGAAGCATGGCAGAAGCTTTTCTATGGCTTTCAGGTCCAATCTAGAACTGCACATGTGGGTAACGAAGATGTTCTTCTTTTACCAGCTGCTGGGCTAATACATTCATTTAACGTTTTGTCAGTCATACAGGAAGAAAACAGATATCTGCTCAATGATCCAAATGGAAAGGACAAGCAGGGATGTATTAAGGATGCTTAGCCAAGATCTTTGAGGCCTCTTGATAAAGTCTGTCAGTACCAATAAAAATGAGGGCAGGAGAGGACCAGGTGCCTTTGCAGACAACTTGAGCCAGGCCTAGAGTTAAGGCAGGCCTAAAGTTAAGCAGGAAAGGATGAGATGCCTTTGCAGATCTTGTCCGCACAGTGGCTTTAGTTCCAGTTCTGGGGATTTTTCTGATACATCTACCAAAGCCTGGAGCATTCTTGCTTAAAACATGGAAGACTAGGCTGACTTCCTTCAAAATCTCAGGAGGAGGGGAAGAGCAGCATAAAACAAACACCCAGAAGAGAGACTTGCCGTGGCCTCAGACTGAGCTGCACATCATGTCCCCCTTAAGTCTCCTAGGTCAAGCAGGATTTTGTTTTATTTATTTATTTATTACAAAATGTACCTAAAAATTGAACAGTGGGCATTGCACCACTGTTCTTGTTCTTAACTCTGGAGGACATGAAACGTATTTGTGCAGCGGCTTAGCAGCAGCAGCACTCCTTTGTCTAGTGGTGCCCTTCCTTGCCATAAGGCGCTGAGGACAGAACAAGAAAAGAGGGTCCAGGGAGGCTCTTTACCATTCCTGAGCAGTATTTGTCGTCATGACTAGAGACTGAGTATCACCTCATTACAGAATAACTCCACAGTCACCTTAAACCAGCTTTTTTCCTAGTTGCAAAAATCCCTTTGACGGAAGCCAACATTTATGGAAGCTTTTTGAGTCTTTTTCTTCATCAGCACTGGCTCCTCTCCTCTTTATAGATCTCAGTAGGCATCCTCAGATGACTGCAGATCCCTTCTTTTTGATGTCATTTCTTTTACAGACACTTACTGTAGAAACACAAGACAGGAAAAAATACAGGAGCTGGAAGGCTCATTAGCACATTGCTGGACACTTCATTTTAATTTCTGGCAGTGGTTTCCTTCAGGTTAAATAGATCCAGAAAGTTTTGTTTACCTAACCATACACATGCTTGTTCTCTAGTGGCTTAGAAAAAAACTAAATATTGAGACTCTTTAGAGAGTTCAGAAAATACTATTTAGTTACTTCTATACAGCACCTAATTAAAAAAAAAAACAAAAAAGAAGTACAACTGATTCAGTTGTTTTAAAGTGCTGATTTCTGTGCAGAAAAAACATCAAATCTCATCAGCCTTGAGGGCGTAGCTATACTAGGATCATTTTGACACTATTTCTACAACAGTATTTTCTTCCCTAAGGTAAACTATACAAGAGAAAATGTTGCACACAGGTCTCCCCAACAGACTTGGCCAGCAGGGCTGAATTAATCAAGGTAAGAAGGGTACAGTCTCCAACGTTACTAGCCCAGAAAAAGCCCTCAGAAGACAGGCCAAAAGTTGAGTAAAACTGAACTTTGAATGATAGGCAAGTTCTTTCAAATTCCACTCCAACAAACAATAATCAAAACCTAGTCTGCAAATTGTTTCACAACATCACATTCAGAACAGCTAAACATCCCTCTGAAGGGTCATTCACGTGAAAGAAGCTCCTGTGCGACTTTCAGGAACACATCCTCTAGCTGTAAGGGAAATGTTTGCCTATTTTGATCTAATTTCCACTGCCACAACAAATCAGAAAATTTCAAAATATTCAGCGTATAAGTACTCGTCTGAGCACTTCATCTCCTTTACTTCCTCTCTCTTCTTTCTCCCTGTTCCCCTAAAACAATGCATAAAACATTTCACTATAAAGTCTGCAAATGAAACAAGTTCAAAGACAAAGCTCTTCTGAGTCTTTGACATGTTAAAACTGCACTGGATTTAAAATTTGATTTAAACTGCCCTCTCTCCACACACAATTTAGTAACGCCAGATGTTACAAGAGAGTAATAATAAAATCATAAACAATAGTTTGATTTCTATGGATGATCTTATCAAAAGTGCCAAATCTGAAAGTACCATTAAGGGCACAGAACTCTAGTCATATCGGACCTTTCTCTCTTTGTACCTCTACAGGTGCATGTGCAGGTTAGTGTGCACAAACCCACACGTACATTATTACTGTAAGCTAGAATTTTCATGCATAAATAAAAGGGCAGAGGTAAGACTGAGCATTCAGTCTGATCTCAATGTCCTGATTTCTAAACATTTAATTCCTGAGTTTAAATATTACATTTTTCATTAGATTGAAAATAGTTGCTCATTCTAATATATGCAAAATGTGGGGATATTTTTAAGGCAAATTTTTTTTTCAATTCTGTATTATGAATTCTTTGCCACCATGTGGCAGTACAGCAACATCTCTCATCACAGTTTGGATGTTTTCCAAAAACATTTAGTTTCAGAGCACCTTCAAATCTGATACTAAATATGTACTGTTAGACGTATTTCCTTTATTTGTCCACCTTTCAGTTTGTCTCAATTCAATTTTTGCAACCTTCTAAGTCCTATCCATCTAACTGTACAAGTGCATTTAGAGAATAATACTTGAGTATGTAAGACTATAATATTCATTATTTCTATGAAGATTTCCTCTGTGTGAGGAAATAATAGTTTCCGTATGCCTCTCTGATGGTGCCAAAATCTCTTGTTGTAATTCACAGTTTCCAGTTTTGGCTTCCAGCCTCCTTGGCTTTATTAGTAATAAGGTGTGTACGTAGCTGTAGTTTAAGAGAAAAGAATCAGGTGAGTCTGTGTGCATCTATATAATACGTGCGTATGTATATATGTAGCTATTCTGCAATCTGGCACTATTTGGGAATGATAGGTGCCACACAGGCAAGAATGCGACTCAGAATGGTGCAGCCCATAGAAGAGGGGTTTGTTCTGGGGTGTTCCCCACGAGTTAAGGAACCCCTTAACGTGGTGCACCACAGCCAGAGTCACCACACTGGGTTTGCCCTCCAGTGAACCCATGAGCCCTGAGCGAACCTAGGCAGCAACACACAAGTGACGCAGCAGTCTCACACTCTAAGCACCTAGGTACTGTGGAACTTTGCACTGAGTTAGCTGTTGAACATCCATACTGTTACCTGTTGAACATGCATACTGTTATCTGTTGACCATCCTGTTGACCATATTGTTATCAGCTGAGGCCATAGGTTCTGTTGTGTAACTGTGGTCTGGCACGTTCGAATGAATAATAAGCTAAGCCCAGGAAGGATAAAAGAAAGCCAGCCACATACTTCTGTGTGGACTTGAACTCACCGTCAGCGGGCCTGCGGACCCAACAACCCACTCATCAGCTGTGACGCCCTTGATGCCAACTGCTGGGAAGAACATGAATCACCTTGGTTCATCTTGAGTGTGGTGAGAACAATCCAGGGAAAACTATACTAGAGGGGTGGCCCATAAGGACAAGGAAGGGTGAGAACAGTCATTGTACTGTGTATCCGTGGCTTAACCAGAGCTCTGCTATGTGTATTGTATTTTTAGTTCTTTACTATGTTTTTTAGCTTTGCTATACCTGTAGATTGTCTGGTGTTAATTGTTTAGTGTTGTGCCATGTCCGTCAGATGTGTAGAACCGCTTAGCTCTAATAAATTCTCCTACTTGATCAATGATGATCTCTCGAGTTCAGTGTGACTAACCTCGAATCCGAAAGAATTTCAGATGCCCCTCTATTGGCACATCACTGTGAACAAAACCACCTTGAATGAAATGGTGAATAGGCTACATCCTGCTAATGCAATATAGTCCTTGTCTCAAATAGGCCCAGTAGGAACCCATCCCACAACTTCCGCCAGTCTTCTGCAGAGAGGGGAAGCGTAGATTCCCTTAACCAGAGATGCTTTACACCATATTTCTTGCAGATATTTTCCTCTCAGCAGTCCTGGCCTTGAAATAAGTGTTAGAACTTTTCTCCTCGCTCCTTGTTTGAACAGCACATTTCCACACCACCAGCACTTGAGAGTCGCTTAGATACTGATTACGTTTGCTCAAGGGCCAAGCAGTCCTTCGTAGCACAGTTTCTGCCAGAATTCCATCGCCTGGTCAAACCAGTCACTGAATTCAATTTGAAGTTACAGGTAATGATATTTAGCTCTTGAGCATTTTCAAGCTCTTAAGTGCCAAGAAACAGTATCATGATTATCAATAACTTAAGTAGTTTTATGATAAACGTCACCTAAGTAGTTCGCCTGAGCTGTTAGTATTGTTGTATGTTAATTGCTTTGCTGATACCTAAATTCATTTTATGGAAATGGAGAAAAAAATTAAAGTGTCTTAAGGATACAGGGATGCAAGTTCTGTATATAATCCTGAACAGCCTCTCCATAAACTAGAAGTGATCTAAAATATTCCTAAGTCTTCCCAATAAACAGTAGGTCTCTTACAGCTTTTACTTTCTTCCCTACCAAAGATAGGCCTAGCTTTATTACTTCTAAGAACAGTGGTTACAACTGTATTCTAAATGAACAAGAAACTTTGAACAAGAAAATTGTTGAAATAAGTACATCGTCTCACAGGTTGCCACAGAAACTACAGTAGAGTTTATGTTGTTTTTCTGATTTATATTTTTTTTAATAAAGACAAAACTATACAAGCTACTGAGAACCTTACTTTGGTTAAAATAGTGTATTTTCTTTTTAAGAACATGAGCTGAATGGCAAACGATTCATTACAGTCAAGCATTAGGAAGCTACGGATTGCCAACAGTTCCCCACCGTTTGACTTGTATGTTACTACCATAATATTATCACCTGTTTTTAAATACTATTTAAATAATTGGCAAATTATTTTATTTTTGTTTGACATAAATGTATTGACTAGTTATATAGTGAAAAGTGAAGAATTAGGGAAGACAGAACATGGCTGCTCTGAAACCTAGCCCTGACATTAACTTAGTTCTTGCATACTTGGAACAGCAGAAATGACACGTGTTCTTCTCTTCTTCACCGTCACAGCACGGTGAAGAAAATTTATCTGAAGATAAATTTTTTTCTAAATAATTGTGACTCCAGCAGCTCCCAACATAATTGACATCTATAAATGGAAGCCTTTTCTATCACAAAATTGCAAAACGATTGAATGGGTATACCTTATAAAATAATGATTCCTAACACACCCCTCTTCATCTTCAAAACACAGATCTAAGCATACAAAATTTCTATCGCTCTTAAGGACTAAATGGAAGAATACAGTCTCTAGTTTTATACACATTAATTTTTATAATACAATAATAAATACAGAAACTGAGAACTTCATATAGGAAAAGGAGTTAGTTAACCTTTATTTAATTTCTCCATAGTCCCAAGCTTGACAGACGTAGAAAAATATTCTGGAAGTCTAGTAGACAAATTTACCAGTGCTAAATAGCCCTTTACTCTGACCATTTGGGCCATTCTAGATACATTTGTACAAGCATTATTTCATTTTTTTTTAATGAAAGGTTTTGCC